CATCTCTTTGTTGCCGAGCGAGGGCTTCCCCGCTACGTGTGTGCGCACAGGCGCGCGCTCCTCGGCCGTGTGCTGGATGGTGTTACCTTTCTTGCCTGTAATCTGCCCTAAGTAGCAAAAACAATCATGTTGCTAGAGTCTTACCCCGCTGCGGGAGTTGTTCCTTGCGTTCCCTTGCCCCACAGCTTACTTTTGGGTAGTAATACAGGCATTTGATGTCAGAGGTGAGCAGGGCCCTGTGGTAATTCATGCTACACCTCAGGTAGCCTCTGACTTGTGTGGCAGGCAGGAATTCAGTGACAGCATCGCTTGCGTTTTGCAAATGGTGGAGTTTAGCCAATTAAACGAGGAAATGGTTAATACAGTTGATGTAGAAGCTTTTAATTTTGCATTAAGTGTATTTGGGCTTGTTCTACGGTTTACCATTTTCAGTATGACCTGCTTTTGTACTGGCAACCCGCAGCTGCAATGTAGAAGTTGCTGAAGGAATAGAAGATGTCTTAAAATATGGAGAAACGTGAAAAGCAGCTTTCAGTACCAGGACAGCAAATAAGATGATAATTTGCTATGATGCTTGGCATCATGGAGTTGCTGTTGCGAGTAGGCTTGAGCAATTGACGGAGGATAATAGTACCTCTCTGGATGCTTTCTTCATTTTGTAGTTATCTGCATAGTGATGAGGTCTAGAACTATTATGATTTAAAACTAGAAATTCATGGAGAAAATTCTGGAGTGAATGTAACTATGGATGTATTTTGTGGCAGTGTGATAACGGAAAATATGGGGCCTTGGTTATAAATACTGGAAGCTCACTACTGCATCAGCAGTCTTTCCCTTTCCGCCCCCCCTCCCTTCTGCCATCTGTCAGATAATAAATTAATCTTATGTTATAGGTGCAGGGAGCTCATTTTTGCATGAACTGCCTTCCCAGTCTATCTTACAATTTTATTTTTTGACATATCTTAAAAATTATATTAAACTTGCATGCATGTTTTTGTTCTGTATTTAAAACCTGCCTGAAGATGAGATCAAATGAAAATGCTTGCAGCAGCAGTTCATTGTAATCTACCAGGGCTTGCTCTCTTTCTCTGCCTCTTGCTACATACGTTTGTATGTACATACGTTAGTAGATTCCCAGGTAATGGGTGAAAGAGAAAAGAGATGCTCTTCTAGCCGTTCAATAGCATTTTCAGATGGATGTAAAAATAGATATTCTTATAGATTGCTTGCTTTGTTTGCAAAAGACTTCACTTCCTGATATTTTTCCTGGACTCCAAACTCGTTCTTTAAGTCTGTGTACAGACCATGCTTGTTGTCAGCAACAATTTAATTTAAAAAAAAAAAAAAAAAGAGGGAAGTCTGTGCAACTGATACAAAGATAAGTAACTTAGAGGAAACTTTTTCTTTTTTCTTCCTCCTCCTGCTGCTGCTTTGGCGAATCTTATTTAGATGCCATTGTGTTGGCATCTAAAATATGCTCAAGTCTCTTCCTAATTATAGGAGACTGAGGAAACTTTTCCTAATTATAGGAAACTAAGCTCAGTAGTATTGCTGCAACCTAGGATTCCACAATAGTGAAGTACATCAGTTGCGTTATGCATGAGGGATTGAGGGTTTCTTGTTCAGATTGTGGATTTTGGTGGCTCCCTGCAAAGATAGTTTTTGACAGGACCTAAATTGTGTCATAATCATGTTAGTTTTATACCCAGCAATGTGTAAATCAGGGTTCTTCTGTAGTTCTTAGTTAGATATAGATATGTGAAACATGTAACATCACACAATGGAGTAACATTATGCTCCTTAATCAGGACATATACTTTAATGTCCTGAGTTCTAGGTCCATTTTAAATACTTGCTCAGTTTGCTGCTCTTCAATATGTATTTTCATTTGGAAAAAAATCATGAATTGTCTCTCTCTGCCATCTCTTAAGTGAATATATGTTGAAATCATGAATTCACCACTATTGTGTGAATTCACACAATTCACCTTTGTGTCAAAAACTGCAGCAGTGATGTTACTCAACAAACAACGCAAATTATGGCATGCAAGACCATTGCCTAACATTCAATATCATTAAATATAAAACTATACCACACAGCAAAGTTGCTCAACAAATGATGCCATGCAATAGCATTACACAATAAATACTGAAACACCACTACACAGCAAAATTACACAATAAAATGTGAAGAAATTTTATTCCCACTAGTACTCCTACACAGAGATTTCCCATTCATATAAAACCAAGCTTGCTTATTCTCTCCAGTTTTCACTTCCATGTTGTATTGGTCACCTAAGTCTCTAGGTGACCCTATTCTCAATATTCAGCTGGATTGTCCTGCCAGCAGGGACCTTCTTCTGTTGCCCTGGGCTCCTGTGATGGGACTGTGTAGAACTGTGTGCACCAAGTCCTGTGCCACTTTATTTCCATGCAGTAACTATTTGGCCTTTTTTTCCCCTCTGCTTTGTGCTACTTAAAAATCAGCCATACTTTTCTGAGTTTTTTTTTTTTTTTTTAAAAAAAGGAGGGGGCATATATGATGAGCCTAATTGGTTTTTTTGAATGATGTCACAATATTTAATATTAAGTATGCTATGCAAAGCCATTATCTTTTTAAAAAAAATTTTGCATTTAAAAGACTATTGGGGAATAGTAACTATCCTGTGACTTCCTCCTGCTCATATATATTACTCAAATATATATTTTCAGTCTTAGCAATGTTTAATTTTTTTCCATGTTAACTTGTTGAAACACTACTTTTCTCTGTACTTTTCTCAAAGTAGTCTTTGACTATCTTTTTAGACGCCATTTGTGAAAGCCGTAAAATCCATTGTAGTCATGTATTCACCTGAGAAGTCTGAAGGAGATCGTTTAGGAAGCCATAAACTTTAAAGAAAGTTTAGAAAGGACAAAGACGTGTTCTTAGCAGTCATCATGAGAGAGGATGATGTTCGGGGGAAAAATTTGTATCAAAAAAGGTGATCTAGGAATTCAATGCCATTATTCCTGTAAGGCCATGGGACCAGTAACCTATAATAGGTAGGGCAGGGCTTCCTTCTCTCTGTCAACTCAGATAGCTGGTTGGGGTTAGATTTGCCAGGAAGGCAATGATTAGATGACTGAACAAGTGACTTAAAGGGTGGTTCCAGGCTGAAGATGAGAGAACTATTAAAGTTAAAGTGAATAATTCAGGACACAGACCAGGAAAGAGGAATATGGAAATCTCAACCCATTCGGGAGGGAAGAGTCTATAGGCAGCCAGGAAAGAGGAGTGGGAGAGTGTGGCCAGAAAAGGAGGCTTGTGGAACACTGAATCTAAGACTTATTTTTCAGGAGTTTATTTATTTGAATATGTTAAGCCAAACAACGGAGGGAGTTACAAACTTTGGGTAAGACGATTGTTCTTGGAGCTCAGAATTAAAGTGAGGCAGGGCCATCCCAGGCCATATGGGATTGCTTGGGAACAGCACCTATTTACAGCTGTTGCAGTTAATAGGATTACAGACTCTTTCCATCAAGAAGAAAGGAGAGAGCAGAAAGATGCAAACTTTCACTTTAGTGGTAGGATAGTCTTCAAAGTAACATCTCGTTCAAGAGCAGTATCAGTTGTAGTTTTTGTCGGCTGAGTCAGAAGTATAAGGCAATGAGGATGGAGAAGGCAAGGGAAGTGCTTGCAGCTGCTTGTCTTGAAAGTGATCAGGTGAAGTTGCTTCTATGGGAACTCAAATTACCATAAAAACTTTTGCCGGGAATTCTTAGCCTACAGTTTAAAGTTACAGATGGTCAGTAAATTCAGACTTAGCTTCTTTTTCAGCCCAGGGAACAAAGAACCAGGAGAAAATGCATATTTCTCCTTCTTCCCTCATTCTTCTTCCCATGCAGAAACCAAATATGACTAAAGGATCCTGAGTATTTATGCTTTAGGAAAATTCATTGGGGTGCTTAGCAGAACAGGGGAATTACCTGAGTGTAAGTAGTTATTACACTACTTACTTGTTATACCTGAGATTTTTCTGCTGAGACTGGAAGTCAGAAGAGTCCTCATGAAAGTTCTTTAGAGGGTGGAGATAGGGATGGAGAATGGAGGATGAGGTAAAGATCCATGAAGCCCATTTCACAGAAAAAAAGCAGGATGTGTTCCTAAGCTTTAGGAGGGCTTGCTGAGCACCAGACTGTGATTTGACACAATACTTGGTTTGCAGATGTAATTTTCTTCTCAAGGGAACAGCTTTTTTGGATCTGGGACCATGACTGCATGAAACACAGGGATTAGACAAGAAGAAACATCAGACGCTGGAAAATCAGGTGTATTGGGTTTGACTGTCTTGTGGCAGAAACACAAAGAAAAACCTGGGGCAGAAGAGGCACTTGGACAAAAGAATTTCAGAGGTAAAGAATGTTCAAGGTAGAATATGTGAGTCTACTATCAACCAAACTGAGGAGTAAGAGCATCTCAGTTTAGTCAGTTCATTTAATTAAGCATCCCATTTACCTGCCAGGCAATGGAAGGACTCTGTTAGTAAAGAAGAAGCATCTGTTCGTATTGAAGAAAATTTGTGGGGTTTTTTTGAGGGAAGTTCTACTCACTCAGCTTTCTTCATCATCAGATTTCATTAGATTGTAGAGCTCAGAAGAGATACATCGGAACAAAATAGGTGCAGTCAGCCTTGGTAAAGGAAACATCAGTCAGAAAAACAGAGTTGTGAAGCAGAAATCCCTCAGTGGAAATTTTGGATCACTAAGCTTCAAGAGCTGGAGTCTGAGGGAGTAGCCTGAAGCAAAGCTGACGCTGAAAGAGAAACTGAGGTGTGAGAGGAAGACTTCCCTTTCCTAAATGAAGGAGGAACAGTTGTAGGTAATCGCTCACAACTCTCAGTTTCAGCAGTGAGAGGGGATATAGCAAAGGGCCTTCAAAGAACATTGATGAAAATGTAGTACAAACTTCTGTTTGAACACTTATCAGCCTGTCCTAGAAGCAAAAGAAAACACATGGATGAGATGGCTGAAAGAAGGGATAATAGTATCGTGAAACCTGGACAAGAGAAGAACGTAGCTGGGGTTCTGAAGACTCCTGTAAGGCCAAGTATGTAGCACTGTTTTGAAAGCCTCAGAGGAATTAAGATGTTATGGATATTATTAAAGCAATTTCCCTGAAAAACATTGGGAAAGTGCTTTATACAGAATTTAAACAAGCCAGTGGCATGACCTTAGTAACTACTGTGGATGGCCAAATGACTGGATGTTTAAAATTGCAACACACCATAAATTACTGTTGTGGAGTCCTCGGCAGATCATGTCCTTAGCTGAGGATGCACAGCATTACTGAGGTGCAAACGGGCACGTGGTCCTGGAGTCGCAGACTGCAATGAGAAGTGAAGAATTCTTCTGTGACTGAAATATCTGTGGCACGAGGCACAGACATCGATTCTGGGGACTGCATTGGTTACATAAATTGATTAAGCATAGTGGTTGAGCTTGTTATGTAGGTGGTTGGGCTCACCAGCCCTTCACTGGTTCGACAAACATGACTAGAAGTTGATTGTGACAGTCGTTCTGTATTTATGCTGTGCTCAGGGATGAAGAGGCTTGTAGTAGGGGTATGGTTATAGCTATGGAAGACCAGAAAAGTTGTTTTCAGCACAGCTATTCCATTCTGTGTAACCAGAAAGAGCTGTCAAAGTTTACATAAATACTAGGAAGGAGAAAGATATTCTTAATGGCTAATTAATAGAGGAAGAATGTAGGAAGCTTAGGCTGCAGTTCCCTTTAAAGGGCTCATTATCAGGAGTCACAAAGAGTGGGTGAGGCGAAGCTCTACTTTTTCCTCTGCCAGTCCACACAGGTGTTGGGAGTTATTAAATTCACATGGAAAGGATTAAGGGTGTGCTTGCATGAAAGTGGATGACTTAAAGGCTCCATGCTGACATTACAAGAATTTTGGGAGGAAAAATTTGGGAGGACACGGGGCTAGGGGGGAAAAATGTTGCAGTGTGTATGGAATAGTTTTTGAGCTAAGACAAATGGGGCTCAGCATGGATGAAAAACTTGGATCTAAATGAGAATTTTTTTAATCTGAACAGAATTGGCCATAAAAAGAAAGGGAGCTTTGGTTTATTAAAGGGCGTTGGTGTGAGTGAAGTGTACCTGAAAGGTAGATGCTGGGACAGTCAGCCCTTGACAGGGTAATTCTTATCAGGGAAGCGGGACTGCTTTGAATGCTGCCACTGCATTTTATAAGGAACTCATTTTTGTTTTGTGTGTGAACTGTCATCTGAGGCTATCTATTTGACTAATGCTCCTTGAGGAAGATTTGGGTGGGAGGGTGCATAATTTTTGGATCTTGTTTAGGTGTGACATGGGTGCAGCTGTGCTCAGGACTCAAGTGATTCTATGCATAGGAAATTCAAGGTCTTGTGGCATCCTAAAGACATAAATCAAGGCATCTCTGAAGTTCAGGCCTGCCTTGGCTTAGGTGGTGGCTGTGTGAGGATTTTCAGGACTGCACTGTTGATTGTAGGTAAAGCAGTAAGTGGCTCTGAAGCAAGCTAAGAGATGAATCGAGTGCAACGTATGCTTTGTGTTAACTCCCATTGTGTGTGCTTGTATCTTAAGATAAACATGAGCTGGTTTACCTCTTTCATGGAAGGTGAGGGGGAATATGCTACCTCAATTTGGCTTGCATTTGATGCAAGATAATGACATGCCTGTGGGTACTAACTACTCTTAGTTGTATTATGGTAACTCATGTACCGGCACCTCAACCCCTTTTTTATGTGCTCCGTTTCAGTGGTTTGATCCTTAACTCCTGCCCGGAGTGTTCTTTTTCTGCGTGGCATTGTATTCTACTTATGCCATGAGCTGCTTCTCTAGTTCCACTCCATCCATCCACCCACCTCCCACGCGTACTGCTCTGTTTTAGCATAATCTTGCATTCTGACTATTTGTTTTACTTCTATCTTATTTTCCTTTTCCCTTATCTCTTTCCGCAGTCTCTCAAAAGTGTCTTCTTTCTGGGTCCTATGTATGCTTCAGTTTGGATGCTTGAGCATGGCATTTTCCTGTCTTTTTTTTTTTTTCTTTTTTTTTTTCTTTTCCTCCCCCTGGCTACACATACTATCTACTTGTTTTCCTCTCCTGACTATAGGAAACGCAAGAGGTCTTGATATTGTTTTCTAAATGTTTGTATAAGGTTACTGGAAGAAGGGCATTTATCTCTCTGTACAAATATTTAAAAATAAGTTGTTACAATGACGATTTAGGAATAGAAGTATGTAAATGCTTTAAGATATCACTTTAAAGGAGGAAAAAAAGAATAGGAAATACAGATGCTAACTTGAATACCTATGCTGTAAATATAGGACTTTATAAGCATATTTTCTCAGTTTGCATTTAATATTAAAAGCTTATGAGGAACAGCAGCGTCCAGTAAAAATACTTGCATTAGAGTACCCTCAAAATACTTTGATATTTAGACTAGATTTTCTTTTATTTTGTCTGAACTCAGTTTTAGTTATCCATAAACTTTTGTGTCGAGAATGATAAACTAAGCTTTCCTAATAGTTTCTGAAAACACAGCTTTCGGGCGATATGTTGCCATGAAAGGTAACATGGCTGTAGAGGTAAAGAGACTTAGTTCTGGCAGTCATCTGGATATGGCATTATTTAACTGCTAAGCTTATTATTTTACTACTGATCTGGTTTGTGAGTGAAAGACTGAGTTCATCATATTCTGGTCATCTTTGGGCATGAGACCTTTTCCCCTGTTCATTTCGTGTTTTAAAAACAATAGCAGTGTTTCAAGATTTCCCCCCCTCCCCACAATGTGTCATTTGTAGTGATATTGAAAGCGTGTTGAGGGGAAAAGTTGTAAATGTTTTGCAGTGTTATTTTTCTGTGGAGGCTTTGACTGATGTACTTGTCTTATGCCAAGAGAGGACCTAATGTACCTCACATCTTCTGCCCTTGAACTTTAAAGACAGAAGCTAATATGTTTCAATAAGTTTTTTTTTTCTATAGATTTTACTTCTGTAAAGTTGCATTCTTCTGTAAAATCGTATTGCTCAGCAGCATTCTCATGGTGATGCAACAGGAAAAACCAGGCAGTTTGTCGGAGGGCTTAGGTGCAGCTCCTTGCTAATGTTCTCTAGGAGCCTTCTGGTATTTTTGATAGATTTTAGTTGCCAGTGATGGTTTTCACATACTTAATCGCTGCATCTAGGAGTCTGTAAAAGTTCATTTGCAGCCCCAAATCATTCTGTGTTATTACAGCAACAATGTAAATTGTTTACAGCTGTGATGTAGTTAAACCTATGTGTCCTTGCCCTGTGTTCATATATTAGCAAGACGCTTCAGTGCTGCACTTTTGTCCTGTGAATTTGGAGTATGTTACTTATTAATAATCCTTTACATTTCCCAAGGAAGTCAGCTTCCAGTTGAGGGGATGTGTATAAAAAAAGAAAAAAAAAAAAGCCTATGGATAAGATTTCTTTTGTGATCACCCCCTTCAGCATTATAAAAGCCTGAATCATACTAGATGGACCAATAGTCTCATCTGTTATTACAACATAAAATGTGTATATATCCTGTGTTTATATTACTGCTTATTAATACTCCTACAAATATTTTCATAGTACCATAAGAGACACCACATTGAGTAAACTAAAGGTATCGCCTGAGCTCTCCAAAACAGTTTTGGCAGAAATCGGAGAAGTTTGAACCGAAGTGTTAACAACAAAAACATTGTAGAAGCCAAGCTTGTCCAAGTGCATTTTTTGAAGCAGGTTTATTTTCTTAGAAATGCAGAGATGCAGGCTTGATCATAGGGTTTTATAACTAATTCATAAAATTGTAACCTGGAAGGGAGGGTTTCTGTATTTGTTTACTCGGTAACTTGTAACATTTGAGAGAAGGCATGCAGCTGTCGCTGAACTGGGAATGCATCTTGGTTTGGTGGCTCTTGGGAAAAGTAATTTTTGTGTTTGTCAAAATTCACATGCTTTTAGGGCTTACTACCTTGCTCATCTTATGTAAGCTTCAATATCAACCGTAAAAATGTAACTTTAGAAATAGAGTGTCTGTGCAGTCCTCACAAATAGTTATAATCAACAGAGGAGGTAAATAAAATTGAACAAAGCAGTCTGTTAGACTTGAAAATCTTTTTTGATTTGATGCTGAAATGATATGGCTCATGAGCTTATTATTATTTCATTATTATTGCTGTCTTGAAGCAAGGGTATCTTGCAATTGATGTGTACAATCTTGAAGATAATGAGTTATGGGAGTACCAAGAAGTTATAATACTAGCTAGAATACATCTGGTCTTCTGACAACAAATTAGGATTACGCATTTTTGCTACTTTAATGGAGGTTTGACATTTATGCATATGTACAGGTGTTTAACAGCTTCCTGGAGACGTTCTTCGTAGCTGTAAGGTATGTTGATAGTATGTTAAGTTTGCATGTTATTGTATATATCTTGAAAGAAGGCTAACGAGTCAATTTAAAAAACCCTGAAATTTAATACAAAGCCAAATCTAGTTATAGGCAGTACCTGGTAGTCTTATCTGTAGCCCTTCTGTTTTGGGGCGATCATCTCTCCCGTTTCTGGATGGAAGAGGATTTATGCGGCTGCAAATGCAATCTTTTTAAATCTATTTTTTTCAGCCTGTATGCTTTCATTATTTGTTGTGTTGTGCTTGAGACTTTTTTTGTTTCTCAACTCTTGGATCTTAATTTGGTGTTTCATTGCTTATTAAAGTAGTAGCTGTGTCTTAAAATTTTGATGCCTCTTGTTCTCGGCCCGAAGTAATTACTCTATTCTTGGCTAGTTGAAGCTTGAGAATGGGCAAAAAAATACTTGATTCAAATATCCCCATTCATTCTTGAAGATGAAAACGTGACTTCTTTGTACTGCTCTATCAAAAAGTGACTTAAATAAGAAGGCCAGCTGTTCTATTGGGCTTTTTGGATCTTCTGTTAAATACAGCCTCATTTGCATATATATATTTGCATATGCATATCAGTTTTACTGGTTTATTTTCTAATTGATCCTAGCTATCATTGATGTTGCAGTGTTGTGTTTTGTGGTACAGAATGGCTTTGTGTAGGTTTTTGGAAAGCAGCAGGGACTTGGTTGATGTAGTTGTAGTTTTCACTCTCGAACCGTCACAAGGCTGATATAAGTGTTTGGAGAGTATCCAGAGAAGATCTATGAAAATGATTAAAGGACTGGAAAATTTGTCTTCTAGTGAAAGACAGAACCTGTTTGGGGTGGAGGAGGAAGTGAGTGACCTGACAGCTGTTTATAACTACCTACCTGGGGGGGGGGGGAACAGAAGAATTTTGGTGGGTCTTCAGTCTAGCAGAGAAAGGTGCAACTGACTGCTTGAAGTTTAATTTTAATGCCTTTGCATGTGGGGAGCAAATTTACCTGTGGGTGTAATTAACACATCAAGCTGTTAAATGTTCTGCTCGGTTCTCTGTCTCTGAAAAAGTATGTGATAAATTAAGATGGCAAAGTCTACTAAAGAAGATACCTTAGCTAATATAAGCGAGGTAAGGGAGGCTTTGTGGTCTCTGTTTTGCAGATTGTACTAGATTGCAGTGGCCATGAGTTAGATACAGGTATCTCAGACCCTGTTGGACTTCTTAGAAATATATACAATGCCAGAAGACTCGCTCTGCAAACATTGGCAAGTAAGATATAGGCTGGTGATAAAGCAAGAAAGAAGCATAAGCTGGGGATTCCTTGTGTCCCAGTTACTTTGCTTTCCTGCGGTAGTCTGCCTGCACAGCCCCTCCTCAAGGACATACAAACTTTTCTCTAATTCAAGCAAGAGTGAGGCTATACGCATGTTATTTTAGCTTGTGCACTAGCTACAAGCTGATTTGTAGGCCTAGCTCTGAGTTAGGACTCCTATGCTCTATCATGCAATTTCTCATAAAGGAACTAGATTTGAGGACTAGAGTGGAAAGTGCAATGGATAATTAATTTTGAAGCGGACAAGTTAGTTCTAGCACTAGAAAGTGTATGTGGCCTGCAAATGAATGATTCTTTTAAATTGTTCTATTAAAGTTGTAATAAATACGTAGAAAAATTTAACTTCTGTTGGTGTTAAATCCTGAGATATACGACCCATTTATTTTGATTCTGCAATAGTACACATCACAGTCTTGAGTTGTGTATCCTATTTGGATAGTCATGTGCCATTGTAAAATATATATTTATAGCTTCTGTTGTTGCTGTTAAGTTGTTCCATCCTAAGGTTTTAGTTATTCAGAGGCAGTGTTTCTCCCCCTCCCCCACCCCCCTGACCTTGAAATCTCTACAAACTGATGACAGTGAATACATTCTTAAGCAATTCTGATACATTAGTCCCTGTGATTTACAAGTCTGGGGTCTAATCTGGTAGATGTTCATTTGAGTGTCATACTTTAAGCTGAGCTAGTCTACGGAGGTTGTATAGCCATGGTGACTGTTATATTACTTTACTGAAATACTTTTAAGTATTTCAGTACTTACAGGACTGAGCCAATATTTCTAGCACAAATACAGAAGTACTTTGTATAGAATCCAAATTCTTAACTACAAATGTGGAAGGAAAACACTAAAATACTGTGAAGGAAGTTTATCTGAAGGTTTTTATAAAATGTTTTGTTTTAAAGCCTATGAAGTTATGTTTCTCACATGTTTTATTATATGATACACGTTTCCATTTTTGTAATTTGCTTCATTTATAGTACTATGGGAGGTAACAACATATGTGAAATGTTAGAATAATGAAACAGTGTAATTCATAGAGTAGTGCTTTAATTGGAAGATTCTGATTTGCCTTGCTTATATAGTTGAATTACAATTTCATCCTTGTTTAAGGAAATCTTTATTTCTTAAACTTGGTTGAGCTTTAGGAGGACTTGTCAAAATAAACAGCATGATCTACAGAGAACTCTCCCTGTTAAGAACCATTTTTAAACAGTCACCATCACTTCTGCAGTGTCTTTAGAAGTGTAATAGGACAGATGGATGTGCTGGATTGGCACTGTAAGTGTCTTTGCGCTGAGAATAGTATCAATAGCTATTAATAACTTTGAAAGGCTCCAGCTAAATTAGTGAGTAGCAACCTCATAGCTGAGGAGTGCATATGCTGTTAAGCTAAGAACAGGAGCTTATTGAGTATTGATTTTAAATAAAGTACTGGTACAGGGAATTTTAAAAATTGTTATGTATTTTGGTTATATAATACTCTCTAAAACTAATATTAAAAGGAGAGATGGTCACCTTTGAACCAGTTCAGGAGTGTTCTAATAAAGTGCATGAGTAACAGTGCTGTGTGTTTGTTTAAAGTTTGTACTTACTGGGGGGGGAGGGAGGAATCCTACTCTCTCTAATATACAGAAGATTTAATCACCTAAAATTGTCACTCTAGTGGCAAGGAAATGCTGAACCACCTTTGAAAGAAGCATTTTCATATTAATACTCCTATGAAACACACTGTAAGTGGTTTTTAGGATTTTATCTCTAGATTACCATAAATGTAGACTTACTGAAGTTCATCCTTTCTCCCATATTTCGATACAGGCTATGTAGATCAATTATGTTCTCTTTGGCCGTTACCGGGTAGGATGCTCTTATTTAGTCCCTTTTTAGCAGCCCTGCTCTTGCCCTTACACTGAAAGGAGAAATGAGAGGGCTTTTTGTGCGTGTTTTCTGTTAAGTACATCACCTAATAAGGAATTAAATCCTACAAGGATAAGTGCCTCAGAGCAATTTCAGATATGTATGTTCCTCTATTTCTTATTTTGGCTTTGCAATGTGAGACTTAAAATTTACATCCACAAAATCACAGGCAAACCTTATGTAAGCGAAGAATATGAAATCAGTATACAGAACATCAGTTTTCTAGCAGGAGCATATTAACAGATGCCTTAGCTTATTCTGTATTTGTGTTTACAATTAAGCGCAGCTTAACATTTTTATTCTAAAACTTCTATTGCCTTACAAAACCCAACATTCCTGTACTATAGGCTGTTCCACCACAGCAGTCACTTTATTTGTGATCAAATTAGAATCTGGGTCTTAGGATTTGACAGGCAGACACATTAATCCCCTGAAAGATTCAGTCACTCTCTGTCAATTCTAATCAGGTAAAGGCGTTGGTCACTTTGCTCCAAAGCAGCTGGAAGGATTTTTTTTAATTCAGGGAGTTTACCTTTTTACTTCATGCTTATTTTGTTTTCAGATAATAATGTACCTGTTGCATGTGAATATTGTAGGATTTAATACATTCATATGTCCCTTAAGCTATCAGTCTTCTCCAGTTTACAGAAATCATTTGTTACCATCAGCACTAGCTAATAAGTAGGACACAAAATCATGCAATTTTTGCTAAGACAAGGGTGGGTTTTTTTGGAGTAGCCTGGAAGGTGTATCTGTTAAGCAGATGACTTAAGTGAGTTTATCTTGGTTTGAAAGAGGGTTTATCTGAAAAGAAACTTGGAGTAAGCGTCTGTGTAGCTGTGCGTGTGTGTTTTGTGTAGAACTTGGACAAGCAGACTTGCCTGGTAAACTGAAATGAAGTTGTTTTTGCAGCGCCTTCTGTGTAGCAATAATAGTGCGTTGAGCTAGTTTAAAACTCAGCAAGCTACTTTGTATTGTTCGGGCAAGATCTTATTATGAACAAATTCTTAAATCTAGAAATTCCTAGGAAGAATATACAGTGTTTTCTGGTGCCACAGTATCAGTAAAAAATAATCATATGCAGTCTCCTAAATTCTCTTAACATACGTGCATGATGTTGTTTGTAATTAACGAAGTAGGAATTACTGGCAACTTGTTTCTGACTATTGATATCCTGGCCAAATGAAACATAAGTATATACTCTAGAACTACATTGACTACTGTAGGATTGAGTATTCCCTCTCATACGGGCGTTTTATGTTCAAAGAGTCCTCCTAGGAGAGGTTAGGCCAACGAAATTCCAATCTTTAGTTTTCTCCAGTTCAATTCTTCAATTTGTAGTACTTGTCAAAAGTAAGCAAAAGAATTGTTTACAATTTTGATGTAGTATGAGGAGAGGCCCACATGCAACTGGGCTTTCGTGAAAGATTTCATTGTCCCCCTCTCGCTCCCTTCACCCCCAAGTGGATCTTCATTCTTCCCTTTAGAAATCAGGCAAACATCTCTTTCTCCTGCCACCTAAAAAAAAATCTGAAGTAGGTCATGCTTTCCTATTTTGATCAGTGAACAGTAATGTTTAGCTCCTGGGTAGAATTCAAATCTTTCTCTTCCACCTTTTCAGTACTGTCATTTTAGCGTTCCGGATCTCTTAGGGCACTGGGTTAGCAAATAGAAGCCAGTTTCTCTGATGTGCCTTTGCTTTTTTGTCTTTGCTCAGACAGTGCAAAGAGGCTGGGAAAGCAACTCCCTCCTTCCATGCTGTTACATCTTTACACACTACAGTGATTGGATTGGACTTGGGCTTGCTTGATATTTTTATTTATCTGTTTCTTTGTAATTGTTTGGGCTTGTAAAACTGAACAGTGTAACTTGCTTGACATAGTGAATCTTTGTGTGAAGTAATGTGATTTTTTTTTTAATGTGGGTTTTTTTTGTACTATTTATTTTCTTTGACCTTCCTAGAAATAATGAGCATGTTATGTCTGTACTATCTAGCCCAGCTATGCCAGAGAAAAGAGTACTTAACAAATGCAATGCCTAAAGTAATGATGAAATAAAATTATTTAGACTTTGTTTCCTTTTGTTTGCCTTTTTCCCCTCCCAGACAAACGTGTTGATGATTGGCCCTTGATGCAGTCTCCATTTCCAACATTGACTATAAGCACTATTTATCTCCTTACTGTCTGGCTGGGCCCCAAATGGATGAAGACAAGAGAGCCCTTCCAGTTACGTTTCCTGTTGGTTGTTTACAACTTTGGAATGGTTCTACTCAATTTCTTCATTTTCAAAGAGGTGTGTATGCCCTCTCTCAGGAGGGAATTCCTATTTAAGTCTGAGAGTGTCTAGAGATTGAAAAGTATCTTACATATTCATGATGCGTCTATTGAAGATAAATGTATTGTCCAGATTTTTAAAGCTGAATTTGCCTTTGATATGGGTGCTTTTATAACTAGGTATCATCAGTTTGTGAACAAACATACTAAATGAATGTGTGTATAGAGAATTTACATATACTAGGTAGGTCAGGTTCTTCTTAGATTTATGTTAGATTAGAGAGATTAAGTAAAATCATTAGATGTTTAACAGTTGTAACTGATTTCATTTTCTTTCTAATTATCCTAAAAGGTGTCAGAATATATCTTATTACAAGTTAAGCTGTTTGTTGCCTTCAATAGGTTTATCATTTTTAGCAATTCAGACATCCATTTTCTGCTTTGAGGAGAGATATCCTGTCTGGAAGTTTGCTTTTTAGAATAAGAATAAAAATGAAGTAACCTATATCTTTGTAGATGCATAAAAGGATACAATGTTCAACTATTTATTTTGCAAAGTTCTGAGCACATTACTTCTAATAACAAAGTTCTACAGTGTTGCTGTGTTTCTCCTTTTTTAGGTATCCTATACAGAGGAAACAGGTCTTTAGAAGTAGCTAAGTGGGAATACTGCTTCCCGCACAGTTGTCCAGAATGTAGCTGTTGCTAAGGAGTAGTTTTATTTTACTGTGACTTTCCCCAGATGGATTGAGGGTGGTCTTCCTGGAGGACCTCCGGTCTTATATTGGCAAAATCCATTTCCAGAAGTAACCAAGCAAATAGTGCAGTTGAAATTACAGCGCTGTGGAATTCTTTTCTTGGCGGTCCGTTCTGTACTCTTGCCATCAGTTGGTAGGATATCTGACAATTTTCTGCATAGGGACCCTTCCGCAGAGCTTTTCTAACAATATCTTTGAATATTTTAAGCCTGTTTCAAGGCGTGGTTCAGTAAAACTAATTTTACCCATCACGCCTCAGTCATCTCTATCTCTAAGCTGTCTCATTGCACTATTCCACTCAGACTAAAATCTTTTTTGACTTTCATCCTGTGCAGTTCCAGTGAAGGCAGTACTATTATGAGAGTTCAGTCATTGCAGAGCATTTCCTAGTATGTATAACATCAAATTGTTTTCATCTAACTTGGGCAATTTTGTGTCCATGAATTTCTTCATTGATGGTAACAATTAGGAAGGTTAGAGGTCATCTTCAGAGACTTATGATACTGCACAGATTGAGGGACTGGAGGAAAAAAAAAAAGCCATTAAACTAAGGAGTTATGTATCACATAATATAATCTAGCAGGGACATGGTTGTCTTCATTGGCATTTCTAAGTTTAGCACTAGTCTTCAGCTTACTTGATAAGATGGTCACAGTTCTCCCTTTATAAAACCTGCTTTTTTGTCTCTGCACCTATATTTAGTAGGCAAAAGTCCTGAGCATTCATGTTCCTGTTCATTCCTTTAAGGAGCGTTAGGAATGTTCACAAAATACCTTCCATGTTTTGCTTATTTATTGTGGTTAGAAATACCATGGTATTAAGGGGAACTGAAGGCTGATCGCCCTCCTACTGTACCAATCTTAGCTTCAGAAGTGATCTACCACTTTCTGCTCCTGTTAAAGTTCTTATGGTGTCTTAATCTTGTGTTAAAAAGCTGTCCTGATAAATAGTCTAAGTCCAAAGAAAATAAAATACTATAGGTACAACAGAATTTAACGCTTACACCCAAGATAAATGTGGGAATGGATGAAATCCAAACATCTTGGCAGATTAAAACTGAAAATGTTCTGAAGTGAATTCTGCAGTGTATTTGCCATGTCTCTCTCTTTTCTTTTTTTTTTTTTTTTTAAATCAAATTCAGTTTGATTCATAAACTGAATCACCCCAGACTTGCAGTGAGGTGGTGTTCAAACCTTGCTTGCTTGTACAACACATGCGTTTGCACAGCATTTCCAAATCACTAGGGTTGCATACAAATGAGTGTGATCTGGTCACTGTGAACACCTCGGGTGCAAATATGTGTTTGCTGCTGATAGACTGAAAGCTAATTATTTGAGATACAGGCAGAGCTTTTAATTTCCTGTTATTGCAAATGCTAGGTTGTGATTTAATGGGTGTTGAACAGGACTGTAACGCTTGTAATGGGAAGTGTGTTTTCTTGATCTTAAGCTGATGGGAGGAAAGTGTTAAAGTTTCAGTTGTTCTCTTTAGCCAGGGAACTTTTACTTCAGTCTACAAGTTTACAATACTGATGTGCCACTTGTAAGTTACATCAGTAATATAACTGGTATGAGAAAAATGATATGTAGTTCGTATTTTGTGAATTACTATGAAGTCCCAGGTATTGTTAAGAACCGAATTTGAATGTGAAGCGTCTTTAATGAGATCAATAGTTTGTGTTCTAGATTGAAATATTATTTAAATATTCTTCCAAATGTCAAACCATATTGTCATCTTTGATAACTTATATTAAAATATTAAGTGTTGATAAAGCACTGCTAGGTTGTCTAGTCCAAGATTCACATGTTTTGGACTCAAGTTGAGATTCAAATTAGGAACAAGTTTTGCTTAGAGCTTGCCAAAGTCCCTAATGAGTAGTTCGTATTTTGCCACAAAATCCTATATTTCTTATTTAAGTCTGAAGGAGTAGCTGAAGTTTGCTGAAGTCAATTACTGCTTTTTTTTTTTTTTCCTGAGCGGAAAACTTTTTCTAACTAGCCAGCAGACCTCAGCAGAAATTAGTTGGTTTCTGTAACAATGTGGATGAAACTAATCTCTCCTTTTCTCCTATTTTGTCAATGTGCTGATGCTCATGTGGGATCACACTGAAGAGCAGTGATTTTACAACAGTTTGCAAGAAGTACTTGGATGACTCGAAACTACTTATGTTTCTTTCTTAGGATATTCTCTGTGGACAGTTTAATTCTTTTGTTTCTCCCATGTACAGAAAATAACAAAGCATGGGGCTTTACAGGTTTTTATATGTTGGTTGTATCTGGATGATATGATACTTGGCTCTGCATCCGCACTGTTAGTGTTGCGTGCAAAACTAAACACAAAAGCAAACACAAGTTCAGTCTAAATGAGAAGGAAGTGAAGTGTGGGGTAAGAATAGTCAGTGGCTGCCTGTTTTTAGCTTGAAGGTCCTCTTGTATACCCCTTCTTGTACCTTTACAGTTCACTATTTACAGGTTATGCCTGCTCCACTGCTATATTTTGATCCTCAACAGGATGGGATTATGTGAATTTAAACAAACTTGCATCGTAACAGTTATGAATGTTGATATGAAAAGTGTTACCTGAACCTTGTACAGCCATAGGCTCCGAACAAATGTTTTCTTTTCAATGGGAACTCACTCTAATTTCAAGTTTATCTTCTGCAGTTCAGGTCATTACAACAGACTTTAGTTAGAATTGTCCTCCAAGAGCATTTGATGTGCTTTGAGCCACTTCTGTTGCCACAAAATTATGACACTTTTCTTCATTCAGACTCTGTTAACGTATTGTATGGGTGCTCAGCATTGGCTGTTCGGATTTTTTTTTCCTGGATTTTGCCTGGTAAATTGCTGTAAGGATGATAGATCTAAATTATCTAATCGTTACCTATTAGAGAGTTCTCTTTGCCCTAATCCATCATGGGAATTGCTCTTCTGTTGTTGTTAGAGTGAAAACATCTAGGTGGTTTCTGTCTCTAAAGCTAGAGCCCTCTAAGGGAGGATTCATGTTTGAATAGCTTACGATAATACTGAATTCTTACTTATTTACACAGGCTTCTAATTATCTGGGCAGATACAGGCAGGAAAAATAAGCATTTTCGTAGAAGAAAAAAATAGGCACTACTTAACACTACATTGTTGGAACTAAATATTGGCTTTGTTCAATAGCATTCTCAGGACTCATAAGGATGTTTTAAATATTTCTGATCAGGTAAGTTTGATAAGGCAAGGTGTTTGCTGATACTTGTTTTAAGTGCGCTTTATGTAGCATCTTTCCCCTCACATGTGACTTTAATGTTTTCAGCTGTTTTTGTCATCAAGAGCTCGAGGGTACAGCTATGTCTGCCAGACTGTGGATTATTCAGATAATGTTTATGAAGTTAGGGTGAGTATTTCCTGTTTGTGTATGGGTGTGTGTAATATATAAATTATGTTGTGGTTTAAGTCTTGTCTGAAAATTGTTTTTCAAAGTTCTCCTGTCAGCCCTGACTGTATCCCGTTATATTCTGACAGACTGCTTCAGGTTTGACTACGTTGCAATTGCAATCCATCATGTATTTGCATTAACTTTAATCTAACTGATACAAGGAAGATTAATCCTGAAGATACCATCCGTGGCTTCATTGGTGGCTGTACAATCCATGATAAACTTTGTATATATACATTGATTGCTAGACCATCTGAAGTTTATGATGCAGTGTAACCACGGCAAAGGGATAATATTCTAGATAGATCAAAGCAAGTGAGATATACCAGCTTATACTGTGATTGCACTTCAGTCATACTGGTGAGGTAGCTTTTTGTCTCCTTTACCCATGTTTGGCTTTGTGAGCTCTAGCTGGCTTCTGGCAAAGGTATTATCAGTACATTTCATTGTAGAAGCTAGGATTTCAAATGACTGTTTTTTGGAAAGCATTCAAACTAAAAATCAAAGGGCAGATGGTTGCTAACTTCCGTAAAGGTGTTGATTGGCTCGTGTACTAAGCCTTACCTTCCAGCAGAGCTAACGCTTGAGAGTCTTACAGCTATTCTTGCAAGTTATGTCCTTTACAGATTAGAACATGTTCCTGAAAAAGTGATGACAATGTGTTATGCTCTAAATATGTTTAATGTTTGTAATACATTTTGAAAAATGTCTGTCTTGGCAAAGTGACTGTTCATGGGTAGAATTACCCAAAAGTCTCTGCAAGTGACCGCAAGGTAGCGAGAAAGATGGTTTTGATTCTTGCGCCGTTTGTATGACGGCTGATATTGCAAAAGTGATGACTGTGCTTGGGGCTCCCCCCTCCGTGGTCACGTCTTTCACCTTTGCCAATACTGTACTGAACTGACACTGCTTCATTTATTAGAATACTTATGTTAATAACTTTCTTTAAAAACAAAAATTACCAAAGTGTAACAAATATTTCACAGTTTATCAATGTATGAGACAAATATAATGTCCTCGTACATAACTGAATGACATTGACGACTGGCATGACAGACACAGGATGAATTTTTTATCATAGTAAGTACTAAAGGTGCGTTTCTGGAGTCTAATGACACTTTGTATGCAAACTAGCCCAGTCAGTCTCCGTGTAAACTTAACCAAAGATTTGCTTGGTACTAGGTTTTCTACTTCATGCCTTACTTTTAGGTGCCCTTGTTTTTAGTAGGCTGCGTGCAGGTCAGACCTGCACAGCACAATTATTTTCTGTTTTGATCACTATGACAAACAAAGAATTATTATATCATGAAATAAAGGCAAAATGACCTGCACCATGTATTTTTTGTTTGATATGTCCAGAAAAGACGGATTTCTCTAGCATTGTCAGCTCTTTGGATTTCCTGACTTTCTAAGCTTTTTACAAACTTGTAGATTTACATAAACTTTATTGCTAAAGTTCTAAGTTGTAACGTGCAATTTGCAACTGGTGGAGTTGGGAAAGCAGTGCAAATTGAGTTCTGTCAAGTAGTTGCAATAACTGGTTAATATGTTATCAATCAAAACTCTAATCTTGTCAATTATCTGGCAGTTCTTCTATATAAATTCTCAATTTAGGAAAACTAATAAGTAACAAGTAGAAAACTATGCTTTCCACAAGTGTACTTTGTTCTCTTGTCTAACCAAAGAGTCTGAGATGATCTACTGTAACACAGACCAGAAACTTATGCTGTGTATTAAGAAGGCATGCAGTTTTTTGACACTGTAGGATGTTTTTAAAAACTTCAGATTCCGTTTGCCATCACTTCTCAGTATAAACCTGTAAAAGCAACTCTTAATGTGTCTGTGTGTGGGTTCTTTCTTGCAGTTTCAGGTTTGCAACTGATAAGTCTTTTATCACATCTCTGACAGCATTTAAGTAGATCTAAATAGTAAAATCTAATCTCTTTTGGCGCTAGAATCTCTCTGAAGAGGAATTCTACTCTGCAATAGTAGAACTACATATAAATACAATAACTTTATTTGTAAGAAAATGAGTAAGTCCTGCATTATTCAGATAAAGGAGGCTAGCACTAACTCAAATGGGAACAGCACTGAGCCCAGAAAGCATTGCAGAATATCATCTGGAAAGCAACGGCTTCATATAGACTTCATTGTGTGGGTTAGAAAGGTAAAACAAAAAAAATGGGAGGATAAATGATGAGAGATGTGACATGAATCACATCTAGTCTAATGTCCTGGTATGGCTTCTGTTTCTGCCTTTTCTTGCGAAAGTGCCGCTATGATACTGCTATATAGTGGGCCATTTTGACTAATATTCCTGTTCAAAATGAGGTGTCAAGAAACCATCCCTTGTCCCTCAAAGAAAGAGAGACAGCTGGTAGTACCAAAACAAAAGATTGACCATCCTGGATGGCAGGGAATGTCTTTCTCCTCCTCTCCAACCCATCTCCTATTAGATGCAGCCAACAGTGATTTCAAGGGAACAGTATAAGGTAGGGCACATAAGGGCGCTTGCTCTATGTAATCTAGCAACACCAGCAATCTGCAGCTCATGGACCTCTTGAGTCAGAGATAGTATCTTTGTTTTTGCCAATTCTTATGGGGATGTTCTTCCACAAATTTGTCTATATGCTTTCTTGAACTTTACCAAACCTCTGGTATTGCTTGACAATGAATTCCATAGTTTACACACAGTATGTGAAGCTAGTCTTGCTACTTGGTGTTTTGACCCTACGCCTGTTGGCCTCATTGAGCTTCCACTGGCTCTTGTTCTATGAGAGGCAATGGACAACTGGACTGAGCAGGGATTGGAATTAGATGTCAGCACTGCAGAGATACCTTACTCCTCTTCTTTGGCCTTATCTCTTGGGATTAGTAGGTAACCACCTTCCTGATTGCTGGCAGGAGGTTAAGGAGTGTGTTTTATAGTTGGTTATGAAAAGCTACATAGAGAAGGAAATAAAAAGGAAAAATCCCCAACAAGGATTTTTGAAGGAGCTGGAGCTGCATCTTGGAGGAACATTTTACTTAACACTAAGCATCTAGCTTAGGAGCCAGAATAATCAACGCAAAGGGGTGCGGTCCTAAATCCATGCTTTGGAGTGCTCCTTTGGAAGCTCCACTATTTAGAGTAAACAACTTCCTAACGTTGTCTAAATTTAGGCATTTAATTTTAGCATCTGTGAGTAGCCACTTTCCCTCTTTCCTTACTTTTATGTTCTTGTTTCCTAGGGCGAGGCTCACCTATTTTATTAGCACATTTGGAGAACTGAGGATTAGGAGTCTGGAACTGTGGTACATTAGTTCCTACTTTTAAATGTGTTAATAGTAATCTTAAAGCTAAGCTATAGTTGTCTTCTGTATTGTAATTTTAATCTGCTTTCACTTTTCCTGTTTGTGCGCATGTCTAGAGCTTGAATAGTTTCCTCTTATGAAATAAATAAAATTAAGGGCATAAATTTGGTCTTTACAAATTTACTTTAAATTTCCATGAAAAGGAAACTTGAGTTAACAAAAAAAGAATTCATGATCCTATAAATAAAATTCTAGAACTAAAGCAAGGAAAAGAGAGATCCCTTTAAGAACTTCTGTTTCCTCTTTAGTTTATAATGTCTGTGTTACCTTCTGAGAAGTACTTGTCCCTTCAAACCCCCTAATGGATAACCAGCTCCAACCCAAAATGAGGAAGGAGCGTGCAGGACAGGTCTCGCGTTAAAACAGCCCTCTGTTTAAAAAGCTTGCAGCTGGCAGAGGTCATGGGATTGGACCCCTTGTTGACTCCTTAATCTTCGGCTGTAATGTAATCTTTCTGTGCCATCTGGTGTCTTAACAGACTTAGACTGACGCGTATGAAAACTCCCAGAAAAGGTATGGTTGTGACTAGTAGTATTCACTTCAGAAATATCTCTTTTAGTGCATATTTTCTGTTACATTAAGTCATTCATGCTGTGTCCAAAGCAAGATTACAGATTAGATCCTAATTTTTGATGCTTTACAGAACAAATTTAATAGTGACCATCTGCTCCTGACACAACTTACATACTGATTATACTGTTCTGCTTTGTATCTGTCTTCTGTCACTTATTGCATATATAGCCTTGGGCAAATGACTTAACGTCTGTTTCATTTTTTTCTGCGTGTATAAGCTAATGATGAAGATACCTACACAAGTCATTGAGAGCGCTGAGAGAGAGGAGTACCCTAACACTTACCAATGAATAGAAGTAAAACTGGATGACGGAAAGGGAGAGAGCAAAAGAGCTTTAAGGCAAAAAATCTGCCAGAACACAAAAATCGGCAGGTATAATCCTGCTAAGAACTGGATGCTATTTTTTGTGCTTAAGTGATGGGAACTGTTTTAATTAGAAGTTCAGTTGATTTTAATCCACAGGCTGCGACTACTTTCTCTGCAGGACAGATGGAATTCAAAAGAACAAGGTGTGAATGACTTGTCTGGGAACATATAGTAAGCCTGTAACATTTTGGGCATAAAATACAAGTTTTCTGTTGGATTTTGTCTCTACTTGCATTTTGCTCTGCCGAGGAGTAAATTGGCAAGTACTACTTATTATTCCATGGTTTCTTTAACAAAAAGCACATCAGCTTCCTAAGAGCTTTTATGGCAGTTCCTATCTGACTGACCTATTGATTCTTTACAAGGTGATTCTCTGCCTTCTCAGAACGCAGGGCGTCCAAGGGACTTAATGTTGTAATGCTGGTTTGTCCTTTTGTGGATAGAGGCCAAAATGTTTACTGTTAACTCATGAGATGAAAAGGTGTTTATCTTTTGTAATTTATTTAAGAGCCGCAGCTTAGCAAGTATCTGTGAAAGATGCTGGGCTGTTAGGCTGATCCATGGGTGTGAGACGAAGCCCTGATGTGGGTGTTTAAACACATGATTATCTGTCCCAGAGGCAGAAGTGTACTAGATATTGAGCAACGTGTATATTAGTAGTTCTTGCAGCTTGCCTGCATGTCTGGGAACCCCAAGATCTGTGGGAGTCACTTTTCTGTCATCAAGCCTCTCTCCAACTTTAACAGCTGTTAGTATCTGTTGATATAAAATTGACAAAATCCAGAGAGTGAGAAGGATATTCAGTAATGGATTTGTAAAAGTCTGCAGTTTGGCAGCGGTAAGTTGTGCAATCCCTTTGGGAAACTGCAGAGTGTGCAACGCAGAACTGCAGCACTCTTCAGCTCCTGTACTGTTTTCTTGCTACTGCCACAACCTCTCCTAAGATGGTCATCAGCCAGAGTATGACTGTGATTGAGCTTACTGTGAGGAGAGACCAGTCCTCTTTAGCTAGATGGGAGGGGTAGAGGAAAACACCATGCAGGCTGTAACTGCTCATTTTTCTGGTTCCCCTTTCTCCCGCTCACCCAACAGTTTGTACGTGTTTGGGAGGAGAAGCTGGTGCTGTCTTATTTTTCTTTTATATCTTCACTGAGGACTGAAGGGATGGTGGAGTTTATTTTACAGAATCACAGAACGGTTGAGATCGGAAGGGACCTCTGGAGATGATCTAGTCCAACACGCTGCTCAAGCAGGGTCCTCTAGAGCATGTTTCCCATGATCGCATCCAGACGGGTTTTGAATATCTCCAGGGAAGGAGACTTCAGTGCCTTTCTGGGCAACCTGTGCTGGTGCTCTGTCACCCTCAGAGGAAAGAAGTTTTTCCTCATGTTCAGATGGAACTTCTTGTGTTTCGGTTTGTGCCTCTTGTCCTGTCGCTGGGCACCACAGAGAAGAGTCTGGCCCCATCCTCTTGACACCCTCCCTTAGATACTTGTAGACATAGATGAGGTCGCCTCTCAGTCTTCTAATGTTATAGTTACACAGTGTTAAAGTAAGGAAGTCTGACTTGCCATCAGATGAGTCCTGAAAGAGCAGGTCAGCTTTTCACTTGCTCAGATAGGTATGTTGTGACATTACCTGCTCTCCTTGTTGGTGATGCCTTTTTCAGCACTTTTTCATTTTATGCGTGAGTCACCATCTGGGATACATTCTGGTCCCACCCTTGCATAACAAGCTAGATGACTTCGTGATGCCAGGAACTAGACTTGTTGCTAAGCTTTGGGATATGAAGGGCAGTTCCCCCCCCACCACTATACCCCCATATCACAAGATTAATAAATTACTGTATGGAGCTTGAATTTTACTTGGCATAGCAATATCCTG